GTGGGAACATATTGTGTGACGAAGTGAGGGGGGGGGGGGGGGGGAGGGACACTGTTCAGTGATTTGTAGACATATATGAGTATTTTGAATTGGATTCGAAAGTGAACCGGTAACCAGTGCAGAACTGAACTGAACTGTTAAGTTCCTTGTGAAGACCAATGCAGACATGTTCCTGTTTTTAGTTTTCTAAATTCACCTTATAATCTAGCTGTTTTATTACTCTTTTTGCCATCTTATTTGTTAAAAAAAAAAAAAAAAAATATATATATATATATATATATATGTATGCCTTTTTTTATAATTGTCTATTGTTGTCGCTGTTGTCATCATTCTTTGTTAAATCAGGTCTCTCTTTTAAATGAGTCCTCGAGGCTCAATGGGATTTACCTGTCTAAATAAAGGTTGAATGAATAATACATTTGACTTGACCACTTTAGAGCTTTGGATGGAAACAGCTGCACCTCAGGTGAGTGTCTAAACTTTAGTCATTAGTGCTCATTCTATTGAACTTTTCTTATTAATATTTTCCAAATGTTAATTAAACCATCTCTGTATTGTTTTATATACAAATTTGTGTAGGGTTTGTTTTTGTCCCTTATGTCTCTCCGTACCTCCAGCCTCTGCATCTCGACGACCTGGTTTTTAACTCGATCCTTCAGGGCAGACAGGACCTTCACCTGTCTGTCAATCCTGATCTTCATGTCTGTGATCCTCTGACGAAGGTTCTGGGCCAGATCGTAGTAGGTGTTGTCGTTTCCTGGTGGAGGAAGAAGAGTCACGTAAATCTTTATCTCGACTCAAAACTGGCATTTCAGATGTAGAGAAACACTCCTCCAGAATTTAGGTGTTTATTTTTACATTTTGCAATAGTTAAATGTTTAAAATGCACAAAATAACAAACAAACGCTTAAACATAAACTTAAAATGATGCTTGTAAATTAAAGAAATCCCTTTCTTTGAAATTCCGGGTAACTAATGAGAGTGTCTGACGCTGAAAACATTACAAAATATAATAAATAAAGTCCTGAAGTGGATCCTAAATAAGTTTGACTTTAACTCAGTAGGATACAACATTTTTAGTAAAAGTTGGTCAAAATCAGAGCTTAAATGGGAGGTTCTGCAGGGGTCCATCCTGGGTCCCCTCCTATTCTCTTTATACCTGCTGCCGCTTGGTGCTATTTTCCGGAAACACAACATGTCCTTCCACTTCTATGCCGATGACTGTCAAATTTACTTCCCCCTAAGACACAATGGTACATGCTCTATTCAACCGCTGCTCGACTGCCTGTCTGACATCAGGGACTGGATGGCTTTAAATTTCTTAAGTTTCAATGAAAAGAAGTCTGAAGTCATGTTGTTCCCTCCCAACGACACAATCACAAACCACTGCATCGACCTTTCCGCTCTAAGCCTGTCAGAAAAACAAAGAGTCACTAATCTGGGCGTGATAATGGACCCTTCCCTGAAGCTTAACAATCATGTAAACATGATTGTAAAATCATGCTTCTTCCAACTGAGGCGGCTGTCTAAACTGAAGCCCATATTGTCCAAAAAGAACCCAGAGACAGTAATACATGCATTCATTACATCTAGGCTTGATTACTGCAATTCACTCCTGTTTGGTATCAGTCAGACCTCCATTGCACGACTACAACTGGTCCAGAATGCAGCAGCCCCATTTTTAACCAGTACAGGCAAAAGAGAGCACATTACACCAGTTTTGGCCTCATTGCACTGGTTACCGGTTCACTTTCGAATCCAGTTCAAAGTACTTATGTATGTCTACAAATCACTGAACAGTGTCCCCCCCCCCCCC